GCATACCCTCCAATCTCCTCAATAAACTCCAACATATCCAGAACTCTGCTGCCCGCCTCCTCACCCACACCCGCTCCCGAGACCACATCACTCCCATCCTCCAGAACCTCCACTGGCTCCCCGTCCGTCAAAGAATCCACTTCAAAGTCCTCCTCATTACTTACAAAGCCCTCAACAACCAGGCCCCCCCCTACCTCACAGACCTGCTGCACCACCACAACCCTTCCCGCTGCCTCCGCTCATCAGAAGCCAACCTCCTATCCATCCCCACCCGCACCAATCACCGGACCTGGGGGGATAGAGCCTTCTCCGTCGCTGCCCCCTCCCTCTGGAACTCACTCCCACAACCCATCAGAGACCGCACCGACCTCCAAAAAAACTCACCTCTTCAATCTGGCTTTTCATGTGTGATTTTTTTTTTTATTATTTGACTTTAACTTTAAGTATATATTTATTTGTTGTTCCTTTCTTCTCTTTTCTTTTCTCTTCACTATTATCTGTAAAGCGTCTTTGAGCACCTGTAAAAGCGCTAACAAATTAAATCTATTATTATTATTATTGTCTTGTTAAATAGTTTTTCTTGTTGTGGGACCGCACTTTGTACTAATTCAGTAGAATGCCCCATATAGGGGAAATAAAACATACAGCCAACCTACTGATATAGATACATAAAAGAAGACAGTATTACAAATATGTACAGTAGGCCTAACTTTTGTTTAAATATCTCTAAATAAAGCCCTTCGACCTGTAGTGGCTTTTATCACCGTAGAGAGGGGGGCGGCACCTTTTATGATGGTTCATAGTGCGCCAGTTAAAGCGTAGAAGAAGAGGAGCAGGAAGTAGAAGAAGTCCTCCTTACTACGTTACCGCGAAAAGGTCTGGTCTATACGCATTTGTATTCGCTTTTTGTCAAAGGTAAGCCCTAACTGCAAAGGCGTAACTTCTCTTGAAGGTAGTGTTACTGTGCAAAAATAAACCCAATGATTACACTTTCACAAACATGGTACTGTTATTCTGGAAAGCGTTAGCTAGCTTGCTATCATCAAGTTGGATACCAATGCTACACCGTTGACATTAGCTAAGGTTAGCTTGTTAGATGTTGGCAAAAGATGCACTCTGGTAACTTGCCTACCATAATTCAGTACATTTTACAGTGGCCGTTGTGCCCTGACTAGAAACGTTTGTTGTTCTTCTGAAAGAGGTGGTAGCTTCCTGAAAGTCGTGACAGCATGGCCGCTGCAGAGCAGTGGGATGAGCACCAGGCGTATGAGGAGCTGCTGTATTGGGACGCCCTGATCCAGGAGGGCCACCGCCTCCTTCCGCACGACTTTGATAGGTACACAAGCACGCACTGCAAGTAATGTAATATGAAGTGGTCTTAAGATAAGTTGTACCTTGATAGAGTGGCGAAGTCACGCCCATCTACTTCCGGTCCATGGGACCTTATTTCGGAAAAATAATGTATTGAAGTCAATGGAGAGAGAACACTTATCTTTCGATCCCGTTTGAATTGTGCCATGAATTACACATATGATGTTTGTCAATCTTAAAAAATAATTTCCATGTCAAAAAAGTCTCAGTTTGTCTTAAAACTGTTGAAATATAAGACTATGAAAAATACGCAACTAGAAAGACTACAAATCCCAGAGTCGCGTAAGTGATGTCACAATTGTTTTCCTCCACTAAGAGATAGATATGGCGCTTGCTAAGATAAGATAACTTTAACAAGATGCCTGTGTGCTTAGTACCAGGTTGTTATCATACCAGCAATGGGTCTTGCTCGTTCGTTCGCTTCCCGTCTGATGAAAGGACCAAGAGTGGCTGGATCAAGTTAGCTACCTAGCTATTAGCTAGCACGTTAGTTAGCATTAAGGCCTTGTCATTTTTATTAGCCTTAACATGAAGTAACATTAAGTAACCCAAATTGTTAAACAGTAAGAGTAGTAGTCATATTTTGTGAACCCTTTGAAGAGTACTGTCCCATCGGTGTGATCATTCTATAATACACAATTTAAGCCCAGGGGAGAAATGCTAACGCTACATTAGCATCTGCAATCTTTTCTACTTCACGCTATCTGCACAAATGGTTGACATTAAACATTAAAAAGACCAGGCAGTTCAGAGAGAATCAAAGGAAGGCAGGCAGCTTTGCATGACATTCTTCTGGACGTGTTTCATTGTGGTGATAGTGAGGGTTGACAAGACAGTAGTGACGGCCATCTTGGTGACGTGTGTTGTTCTGTGAGACCAGAGATGTAGTTCATTGAGCGTTTCACACAAACAAATGTGTTACTTCACAGTTTTGCGACACATTATTTAGTTTTAGACTTGCAAAATTATCTTTTAAATTGACAAACATCATATGTGTAATTCGTGGCACAATTCAAACGCGATCGAAAGATAATCATTCTCTCTCCATTGACTTCGATACATAATTTTTCCGAAATAAGGTACCATGGAGGTCCACCGGAAGGGGAGGGACTTCGCCACTCTATTGATCCTCATCGAGAAATGCTGGTGTTATAGCAGCAACAGAATGAGAGAGAGAAACACAGGTGTTGTACTACATGAGAATATACACAGGTATATTAAGAATACAAACAAATAAAATAAACATGTTTAAACTGTATGAATATAAATAAAACAAGTGACTTGACTCTGATCAGGTGAATTTACATATAAAGAGATATGTGAACATGGTTAAATAGACATTTAAATGTACATTTAACATAAAATGATCAGTACTTGTGGGTCTCTCGCCACTTTTTTGTTTTTCAGACTCTTAATAACCCTAACTCTAGGATTAATGTTTGTTATTTTGAGAAATTAAAAAGTTAATGTGGAGGAGCCAGCTACCCGCTATAAAAAAGTGTTGACAGATAACCCACAAGTACCAAATTATCCTTAGATGAAGTAAGGCAATTCAAATTGTGTAACACTATTAATGGTATTTATTTTTCATAAATACCAAACATTAAGCAACATTTATTTTTCAATAATTCAAAAACAAGATATAACTCAATAAAATAAAAATAAAAACTCAGTTTGAGGTCTAGAAACCTGCAAACAGACTCACACAGAAATGAATAATAAAACTCACATAATAGACATGATCCATTTGCTTTTGAATGTGGGCACAGTTAGAGTAGATTCACTTAATTGATCTCAAATTGGGACATTTCTGGTAAGTTTGCCACTGAGTTGATAAGAAAATGAAACATTTATTTGTTTCACGCTGAAATGACTTTTATTCTATCAATCTGTTGCATTTCATATATAATGAAATATTCAAGCACAGTGGGTAGATCAAGAATTCTAAGGGTCTTTTGCTATCTCTTCAAAGTGACAACAAAACATTCCGATTAGAATGTTACTTTATTGTTGTAGTGTCTGCTTTGGTGCTTTTCTGTCAGAGCTTCCCTCACATTTTCTTTCCCTCTTTCCAGATATGAAGATCTGCGCTACTGGTATGACAGCCTGTGCTACGAGGAGGAGCTGAGACGATACCACGATTACGTCGCAGCTATAGAGGAGATTGAACACCACCCAAGGCACCATGAGGTCCTTATTTCTCCTTCTGAATCACCCATCAAAGACTTAATAGTCCACAGGCTTTATAATTTGACTCATTTGACCTGCCTCCAAATTAAGACTGAACATCTAATGTTTTCCGGTTTCTGTTATGCTTTAAAAAGATTGCTCTTCCTCTTTCATAAAGGCTATTTCTGGTGCGTGTTTATTTCGTATAAAGTCAGGCACTTCCCAACTATTACTATTAATGTTTTTACTTCCCAACTTTATTTTTACTTCACATATTGTATACGAGTGCTTTTTCACTGGAATGCATCGAAGTAGCAATAAACTGGATAAGAAATGCAAAAACTACTTCTAATGAATACTCATATAATAAAAACAACTAAATGTATATTCGCTCTCATCTACACTATGCCGTCTTTTTTTCTCTTACCTAAACCTTACGTTTTCTGATTTCCCAATAAAGGAGGCTCCAACCCCCCGGGCTCACACAGGGCCATATGACCGCCACGTGATGGCCAAACACTCTGAAGTGTATCCTTCCCCGGAGGAGCTGGAGGCGGTGCAGACAATCGTCTCGCGGGTGGAGTGTGCCCTAAAGACTGTGTCTGACAAGATGGATATTCTGAAGGATAACACAGGAAATACAATGAGGTGAACAGCATATCCAAATGCTCTCTGGCAGTTTTCCCAATGAGTTGAAAAGTATACATACAGTACCGGTTCTTTTATTGTTTTTATATAGCTTCATATAGTGACTGTTTGTTTATTGGTTATTATATCTGGTTGAGCACCTTACTGCACTAGATACAACATTTAGGTGTATTCAGACTACATATATATGTTCACAATGCATTTATATTTAGAATATACATACATTCAGAGTTTATTCTTTTTATAAATCATATCTTAAAAATAAATGTTCTATCAACGATCCCGTAATATTATTGATAAAAAACCGACCTAATAAGGATGAATCGATAAGTATCATTATCAAAACATCTTAACTACTCCAATTTTAAAATCCCTAATTAAATGCAGATCAAAATAGACACTTTTAACCTGACAGTTTTTCCTCTTAAGAGAAATGCTTCCATTATTATTTGTATTGCTTCTCCCTCATCACAGTGCAAGTGTTGATTCACAAGAGCGTGTCCTGCGGGGGGTCATGAGGGTCGGCCTGGTGGCCAAGGGCCTCCTGCTGACCGGAGACAAGGACCTGGAGCTGGTGCTGCTCTGCTCCAACATGCCCACCGTCACTCTGCTCAATCAAGTGGCTGAGAAATTATCTGAACAGCTAGAGGTAGAACTGACTACCTACAGTCATTCTCTATAAATACATTTCACAAATTGAGGTTAAATGTGGTCCTTTCTTAGATATTAAGAGTTGTTTTTCCTTTTTTAACAGGCAAGTTCAGCTGGGACATATACAGTGAGCCAGTGTCCGGAGGATGCCAGTCTTGTTGTGACGACTACCAAGCAGTCGATCCTGACGCTCACTATCCACCTGACTTCACCTCTGGTCAGGACAAATCAAGAAACTGAAATTGCAGAAAAAAAAAATGAAGGAGAAGAAGGTACGTATGTTGGTTGAGTCTCCAGCATCAGCTTCCACAGCTGCTCTGATCTGTGTGTCCTCAGTGTGCAGACACTGTGCCGCTCCACTGACCTGTAACTGACATGGTTGTCCATCATCATCTTATTAACCCTCAGTGGAGCGGTCACAGTGACTGTCTTACACCGACGCCGGGGAACAACCAATCATTATTGGCTCTTCACCTGCTCGGGGGTCCCGTCGTCGTTTTGGGACAAACTGGTGTTTGCCAGCTCTACATTTCCTCTGTAGTCGCTGATTCATGTTGGTGATAACAATGCTACAGTTATAAAACAACTTGGTTTATTCTTGTTGAATTGTTTTCATGTTTTAAAGTGAAGGCTTTTCAAGAATAACAAGTTAAAGCGCGTATTGCATGTACTTGATCCTGAATATGTACATTTGGCACCAGCTGCAGCAAAACTGATACATTAAAATGAAAATGGCATGACGGTAATTATGTGGCTTCTATCAATATCCTTTAAATGTAGCAGGGAAAAGGTGTAAAAAAAACAGAAGCAGTCTATTTTTTCGATGCTTGTCCTGGTTAGTCGAGTTTTTATCGAGCTTCTGCGTTGATCAAGCTGTATTTACATAGTTGCCCAATGTTTCAAGAAGGTGTTAAGGGGAGGCATACAGAACCATACCGGCCTTAGTGCAGTTTTAGTCCATTGGGTCCAAATCCCAAAGTCTCTCTCCCCCCCGCCCGTAATTTTCAATCAGGATGACAATTTTTGCATGTTGGATTTAACAGCCTACTGTTTCAAGTTATTGTAATTGATCCTGACAGAAATAGGCCATGTCAGTGTTAAAAAATCACCATAATCGTATCCTGGATTATTCTTTTATGAATTCAAAATTAGGCATATCAGCAAATAACTAAATTTAATAATATAAACGCATTTTGCCTATAGTAAAGGTCCCGTGCCTCTCAGCAGGACACAGTACAGAGAATAAATACAGGGTGTGCCTTTTATTAGTTGTAGAACAGAGAACATGTCTGCAAACACAAACTCCGTAAAAACTCTCTGTAGCGACTGACAGGTGATCAAGCGATCAGAGATCACAAACGGAAGTCATTTAACGAGAAGCTTCCTTTCTTCCTCTCACTTTGCGTGGTTTAATGAGGAAGAGACACGAGTGAGGGAAACATGGATACATGTTAAGAGAAATTAGATGGACGTACGGACAGTCTTGTTTAATCTGAAGTTTTTTGACATGATTTGACCACGTGATCACACGTTCCCGCTCGTGTTGTGTTCAAGGACCCTGACAGGAAAAACAGTCAGTAGCCAGTTATATTTAATTGCTGTCTAGATTTTGTTTAAACCTTTTTAGAGTTAATTATCTACGTGTGATTATGAATTACCTCTAGGACCCCCCCCCCCTGGTGTAGAGGATGAGCTTAAACTTGCACACAGCTGGTATGGCCCTTTGTGTTTCCAATCTTTTTAATAAGGCACTTCTAGATCAGGGCCTCCATCAGTTTTGCTGCAGTTTGCAGCAAAAGACTCTAAATGCTTGTGATTTTCAATTTACTGCCTTTTAGTTTGTGAAGTTTTTAGGAACGCTGGACCTTTGACCAACTGGACACACTGTCTCAGGAGGGGGGGAGCAGCAAACCCAAGCCGAGTGGCTGAGGGAAGGGGGTGTTCAATGTAGTTAACAACATGCTATGCAATGTTTTTAATGCTACTACATTGTTTACTTCCATTTTAACACACTGTGGAAACGTGGGCCGGGAATTGTGAGATTTATTCTTGCTGGGACCAAATATTTACACCCCCTTTCCCTGCTGCTGGTTTGGGGAAAGCTGCTACTCCCTGAGCTGCGAGACAGAGCCCACCCCCTTGGTCAAACTGTACCTTTTCTTCTTACCCCACCTCGTCAATAGCTACGCGAACAGACAACGATCCGCCGGACGTTCTGGACAGGCAGAAATGCCTTACTGCCTTGGCGTCTCTCCGCCACGCCAAGTGGTTCCAGGTTTGCATTCACGTCCTTATTTGTACGTAAGGTTGAACTGTTTCTTTGAGTAGTGTCTCTTGTCTATCCATTTAGAGACGGTAACCCTTCACAAATGTTATTAACTCATAAAGAGTGATCTGTTGATCCATACCAATGACACCTTTGATTGTGTCATTGGTATTGACAACAGCATATCATTTTCTTTATCAGAAAATTAATCTTCAGACTTCAGCTCTCTCTATATTCACTTTGTGTGTTAGTACATTGAAGTCTTGTTGATTTGGAGACGGCTCAGTTGTTCCGACCTGTCTGTGCTTTGTTTTTGGGTTGTTTTGTGAAACTTCAAAACGCAGGGTTAAGGAAACATTAGCTCCTCCAATTGAACTAGCTTTTGTTTGTGTCTCCAGGCTAAAGTCAACAACCTGGGTTCTGCCATCCTCGTGGTCAGGATCATGAGGGACTTGTGTAACCGCGTTCCTACCTGGACGCCACTGTCGGGATGGGTAAGGAAACCGTGGTCGTATTTGTGCACAAATGGAGCTTGGATGTTGATAATGTTTGTGTGTGAAGTGAGGATGTTTTTTTGTTTGCCAGAAGTTAGCATCATAAGGGCTACATAGACAAAAATGATTTTTTCATTGGATTTTCGAATGTCGCGAAAGCAGAGATCTGTGGCAAACAAACGTTGGGATAAAAGGGTTAGGGTTACACATTAACACCGATTTAATTATAGTAATAGCGTATATGCAATTTCCATAAGTAAATAGCTAACTTAATGCTAATAAACGAGCTACATGACAGTCGCGTGACTTCATGTCACCATTGCGAAGCTAAAGGTGACTGATGGTCCGCGTGTATTTACTCATGTATTTTATGTAGTAGAACAAGACATGAAAAACTTGTTAAATTGTATTAACCACAGACCTTCTTTCCGCCATCTAACCAAAGCTAAAATGTTTACTAATTTCTGGGACTCATTCCCGCACCACTCTAATTTTCTCTCCTCTGATCTCCTCATAGCCTCTGGAGCTGCTAGTAGAAAAAGCTATAGGAACGTCTGAGAGAACGATGGGAGCGGGCGAGTCGCTTCGCAGGGTTTTGGAGTGCGTTGCATCTGGAATCCTCTTGGAAGGTTAACGTTTGTACTAATTGTCACACCAGCATTGATTTTTATACACTAGCATTACCATGAATATACTAATGTAGCTGTATCTGTGCATAGGAGGCCCTGGAATAAAAGATCCATGTGAGAAGGACACAGTCGACGCTGCTGCAAATCTGACTCCGCAGCAGCGGGAAGACATCACGCAGAGTGCTCAGGTAAGAGCAGGATGCTAATGCATGACTCACTCATATGTTTGGATGTAGTGGCTCACTTTGACATTCTCCATAGTTTGCCTTGAGGCTCTGTGCATTTGGACAAATGCACAAAGTGTTGGGGATGGACTTCAAACCTACAAAGCCTCGGAGAATAGGGGGAGCCGGCAAAGAAGGCACAGGTACCTATCAATCTCTTTTATTTCCTGTGTTGTTTGTCATGGAAGAGTCTGTTCTCATGCTTGTTTCTGCTGCGTCCTGCAGCCCAGATACCGCCCGCTGGACACTTCAGTCTGCCAGCTAAGAGACCCTACACACAGGTAGAGAAAACTGAAGGGGAGCCCCAACTCAACAGCAAGCAGAGGAAGTTTCTGAAGTTCCAGAAGCGCTTTCAGAGGAAATCATGTTAGTAATGAGTGTCGGCAGACCTGCTGTAATCTGAGCCTTTTTACTGTTGAATGAGCTGTTTAAATATGACTGAAATGTTCACAAACAACGCCATAACACAACATAAACTTGTACAATATTTTTTGTTTCTATTTTCGATTCTCTTTAAATTTAAATATGACTGTTCGAAAAAATCCATATTATACATGCATCCACATGTATCGAGTGGAGAGTTTATTATGTAAACTTAGCTAGATCTCTTGCCTTCTAATGTCTGTACCTAATTAATTGTAGGGGTTTCCCCGACTAAGAATGTACAAAGTCTTGCCTATTGTCGACTAATAGTCAGACTTTTAACTAATTTAATTGTTGTTTTTCTGTCATAAGTGACGTTATTAGTTGTTTGTATAGGCCGGGGTGCATGTGTGGATGCAGCAGTTTTATTCATTTTGAAAGAGAGATTGATAGAAAGACAGAACACTTTTTTGTTTTGGGCTGCTTTTGTTTTGTGGTTATAAATGTAACGGCCCTAATTCAATTCGCCCCATTGTAGCAACAGACAGAAGGAAGGCGACACAGAGAGCCTCCTGCTTCTGATTCCGACAAAGACACGTTCAAAAAATAAATATATTTAGCATTCTGGTGGTGCTATATTTCTACCCGAGTGCTCTAAATCAGGGGTCCCCAACCCCCGGGCCGCATTATAAATATATAAAAATATTTTTGGAAAGAAAATTCAATTTTTAAAAAAAAAATGTTATACCAGTCATATTATTTCATCCAAAACATAAAAAAATTAATCAAAATTGGTTAGCATAAGGTCTCAGCCTCTCGTGCGCAGATAAAGTTACAGGTGGTGCGCCAATAGGAAGTGGAGCACACAGGAGACAACCGTTTAATCGCAGACAGTTATGTTTGTGGGGGAATGACAATGCATACATTATTTGAGATATATTTCGAACTCGGACTTCATTTTAAGGACATTGCGGCCAGGGGTGTAGAGCTATTTTTTTTAATTTGTAAAGCCTCCTTCACTTCATGAAATGGCTGAAGCATCAGGAGGCAGCCTCTGAGAAGTGCAGCACCAGCGTGTACACACCGCTTCACTGTGTTCCCCACTGCAGGCTGCTACGTTTCAACCACACACACCTACACAACACACATTGAACGGACCGATTATTCCCCCTATTACTCGTCGTGTGAAGGAAATGTCCGGTCACAAAGGCGCATGGTGTGTGTGTGTGTGTATGTTCGGTGTGTTTGTGTGTGTCCAACAACGGCATTTGTTTTCAAATTACCATGAACAGTAATTTACACACATCTGGCCAACTCCATAGGTATGTGGGTGTTCCCAAAATAAGTTAGTTTAATCTTAATCTCGATGTAGTACACCAGAACGAACGCCCCGGTATGACGTTATTATGGCTGACAAACAAGCCCAGGGGTCTCACTGATATTTCAGTTATATCAATATGTGTACAGTGGTCCTAATTTGTTTTAATTGTATCCTGGTTTTAAACTTTGTTGATATGTATTGGATGCATATTGTTCTATTATTNTATTATTATTATTATTATTATTATTATTATAAATACATAATATTATTATTATTTATTACATTACAGATTTTATTTTTATACTCCTGGAAATAATTGCTGCACTTTATTCCTTATTCCTTTATTCCTTATTCCTAAGTACTTTATGTATGCTGCGTGTATTTTTGTTTTGTTTTGTTTTGATGGCACCCTTGATAGGGAGAAGCATTTATTATTATCTTATTGTACATGTATAATGACATTAAATGATTCTATTCTATTCTATTGATTTTATGTTTGCAGGAAATCATGATTATTCGCCTGTCCACTACAGTGGACGTCATGCATCACTGGCTATATTTCAACTACACTTCATACTGTTACTGCTACTGTTCTTATTGAAAATACTTAATTTGCAATATATTTTTGGGCCTTAAATATATATACTTAAGTTATTATAATGTAATTTTAAGTTTGCACATCTTTATTTATCATTTTTTCCAAATGTACAAGTTTTCAGTTTAGACTTTAACGCATACTGTCCACCTGAGTGGACATACAAAACATTTTTTTCCTAAATTTGAAAAAACTAGATTAAAAAAAACTAAGGTTAAAATCTTGTTTTTAATGCCCCAACAGCAATAAAAACACTTGGTAAAAAAATCCTGAGTGAGGCTTTCATAATTCATGCATGAAAGATTATGTTTGCTCAGATGTTTGTTTTGCTTTTTAAAAACTTTAATATGTGGTCATAGGTTGTTCACTTTTATTGTTGGTCGCCTGCTTTTATTACATTTCTGGTTTTTAAAGCTAATTAGTAATTTAAATGGATTATACTTTTAAAGTAATCCACCTATCCCTGCTCAGGACCATAGGACAGAGCAAACAGGAAACAAAAGCAACCAATGTAGTGGTTGGTCCCAGGCTTCAGGATCAACCTCTCTGCCACGTCCCTTACAAGAGCACAGAAGAGGACGTTACAGAGCTACTGCCAACATGAGACAAGTTCATTGCTACTCAGCAGCAAGTGTAACATTCAAGTGTACAAAAGTACAGACTATTTCATTGTGACAACATAGGCGCAAAGACAATGTACATTAATTAAGATGGTAAAAAACATTTCTTATCAGTTATAGTTCCATTGTGCTGACCGTAAAAGTGTCTTTGCCTTGAACTCTTAAAACATTGAATTTATTCCTGCTGCACACTGAGCCACAACACTCAGAAAGCTAAGAAGGAATCATTGCCTCATGTTGGTACTTGCTGAGTGTGCATATGTTTTAATGCAGTTACAATTAGAGCTGTGAGTAAAACTGTAAAACTGTCATATTACATTACTTTCTATTGTGTCCATCTGCAAATGTTTAACTTTCAATATTTGATGTGTACAGTTTTTTTTACAGCAATGATGCGTAAGCTAAACTATACATTTGAAATGTAATTTGTGTACCTGATATAAAAAAGCAAGATTCGAAGCACCAGAGCAAAGTATGTGTGTGTCAGTTTTTAAAAATCTGAAGTAAATAAGTTATTGTTTCACATATGTTGTCAGTATTGTTACCACTAAACACGAAACTCTACATAGTGTTCTACATGAGACCAATTATCATCATTTCAAACTGAAGCCCCGCCCCCAGGAGCGGGTCTTTGAGAGTGACGTCTGTGAGCTGTGATTATCTGGATTTCTTCTCAGCTGTTCCGTTTGAATAGGCTACTACTGCGTATCAAGTTGTTTGGCTATGTCAATGTACTCATTATGTACGTCTTTCGCCCAAACACTAAACAAAGTGTAGAACACATACGTGTAATTATGCTATGTCAGGGGTGTCAAACTCAAGGCCCGGGGGCCAAATCCGGCCCGCCACTTCATTTGATGTGGCCCACAAGTTGAGTTTGACACCCCTGACATAGCATAATTACACGTATGTGTTCTACACNATTGATTATAGGTCCGGGTCCCTATAGGTCGGCGTCTGGATCCGGATCCGGACCGCGGTCCGCCTGTTACTGAACTATGATAGGCTACATGGTTTTGTAGTAGGCTGCATTTGTTGCATTATTGACCTCAATCGGCCT